TTTAAAGTAAAACAGTTTCAGGACCCATAAAGTCTGCATAGGATTGTAAATTTATACAAAGATGTGCTAAATTAGTTCAGCAGAATATTTTGTTAATTCATTTAACCTTTTAATCTTATGTTTGTGTTTTCATCTTTCTATTTAAATGTTTGTTCATTTCTCTGTAGTTCCTAAAATCTGTTCTGTCTCTTTTTATTCTGACTTTTGTCCCATCAATCACTTCCCATTTAGTGTTTTTGCACCGATACTCTGTTTTTAATCTGTTCTGATCGTGAACATTTTAAAGCCTGAAACATACTCGCTCCGACGCTGACGGGTCGACGCGCGGTCACCTGGTTGTTCGGCAGTCGTTCTCTCACACACCTTTCATAGTCCCTGAGACACCCCGCGCCGGGCTCCTGGGAAACCCCCCTCCCTCTGAACCATACGTCACTGCATGGAGTTTCTCCCCGCAACAGCCGACAATCATTGCAGAAAAAAAGACTCGTCACTCACGACGTATTTATCCACATCTGTTCTGGTTTAGCTCCACAGTTTTTATCNATATGAAAGGCAATTAAAATATAAAACAGGAGATAAAAGTTCTCTGATGTCTTTTAAGTGTATTTATTTAGTGGTTCATATAATTCTGCTTTTATTTCTAATTATGTCAGAGTTGGTCCTCCGTACTGCAGAAGCCTGATAATCATCTACTCATTCATATCAGGTGTGTTGGAGCAGAGAAACAAGTAAAATATGCAGGGCTGCGGCCCTCCAGGACCAGGATTGCCCACCCCTGGTTTAGAGTTAAAAACCATGTTTTAGTTTTATTTTCTCTTCTAACCCAGGTGTACAGCAAGCTGCCTGTGCAGACGTTAACAGGATACCCCTACGAGGTGGATGACGAGRCGTTCCCTTGCATCTTCAGACCATGGAGGTTGCCAGTGTTAGAACGTCCAGCCGTGCCCGAAGCTGAGCCCAGTCCTACGCCTAGAACACCTCAGCCTCAGAACCCCATCAGTGAAACGAGCCCACCCACCCGCAGTATGTGGCAGTGGCCAGAGTTGGAACATCCAGCTGAGCCTGAACCTGAGCCCAGTCCTACGCCTGGAACACCTGAGCCTCAGAACCCCATCAGTGAAATGAGCCCACCCACCCCCAGTATAATATGGCCGTGGCCAGAGTTGGAAGAACCAGCTGATCCTGAACTTATGCCTAGTGCTGAGCCCAGTCCTGAATTTGGATCACCCATCCGAAGGAAGCGCTCCATCTTCAGACCACCCAGTCAGAACGATGACGTCTACAGCGTGTTTAAAGTAAAACAGAGTTTCAGGACCCGTAAAGTCTGCATAGGATTGTAAATTTATACAAAGAAATGCTAAATTAGTTCAGCAGAATATTTCGTGTTTTTTAATTCATTTAACCTTTTAATCTTATGTTTGTGTTTTCATCTTTCTATTTAAATGTTTGTTCATTTCTCTGTAGTTCCTAAAATCTGTTGTCTTCTCTTTTTATTCTGACTTTTGTCCCATCAGTAACTTCCCATTTAGTGTTTTTGCACTGATACTCCTTTGTTGTTAATCTATTCTGATCGTGAACATTTTAAAGCCTGAAACATACTCGCTCCGACGCTGACGCGTTGATGCGCGGTCACATGGTTGTTCGGCAGTCGTTTTCGCACACACCTTTCATAGTCCCTGAGACACCCCGCGCCGGGCTCCTGGGAAACCCCCCTCCCGCTGAACCATACCTCAATGCATGGAGTTTCTCCCCGCAACAGTCGACAATCATTGCAGAAAAAAAGACTCGTCACTCACAGACTTATTTATCCACATCTGTCCTGGTTTAGCTCCACAGTTTTTATCAGTCAGATTC